TTGGACACGGACCAGCCTATAGCTCCACCCCTTCTAGCCATAGGCCAGCCTGGCCAAGGGCCACTGACCGATCAAAGATGGCTCCCACGCCTGCGGAATGGGCTGAGTTCCTGTGCACGTGAAGACCCGTGGCCAGGAGGATGCCGTCTCGGACATCAATGGACCGGTGGGAGAAGGATGCAATGAGGAGCTCATTCCAGCCTAGGGCCAGAAGGCACCGAGGGTCAGCGGCCGGACACCAGGCCACGGCAACCCAGGTACAAAGAAAACAGGGGGCAGGGTAGCCAGCTGGGCTCCCTGAATATGCACGAGAATGCTACTGGGGTCACTGAAGGTCAAGAGGTCAAAGAGACTCACGGTCACTGACCTGCCCGCAGCAATATGACCTGGTCATCCAGAGGTAGGGAGGAGAAGTGCGGGATCCTCTTCGCCCACTCCACAAGCGTGAACAGCTGCTTGTCAGCTGCCTGGCAGATGTTAGTCACGGGGTCATTTGGCTGCAGAGACAGGGAGAAGCATGGGAGCGTGGAGACGCCTTCCTTGTGAGAGGCTCTTCATGCTCCTCTAGACTGTCCCCTGTCGGAACCCACCCCTGCCCTCTCCACACCGTCCTCCCTGTCGGAACCCTCCCCTGCCCTCTCCACACCGTCCTCCCTGTCGGAACCCTCCCCTGCCCTCTCCACACCGTCCTCCCTGTCGGAACCCTCCCCTCCCCTCTCAACACCGTCCTCCCTGTCGGAACCCTCCCCTGCCCTCTCAACACCGTCCTCCCCGTCGGAACCCTCCCCTGCCCTCTCCACACCGTCCCTCCCTGTCGGAACCCTCCCCTGCCCTCTCCACACCGTCCCTCCCTGTCAGAATCCACCTGAAGTCCAGGCTCTCTCATGGCAGTCACAGAAACTACCACTAATCTTGGACTGTCCAGTGGGAGCAGAGAAGAGGGGCTTTTCCCCACATCAGAGACAAGACTTTCTGAGACAGTCTCACTATGTAGTCATGACTGGCCTGGAACCTGCTATGTCTACCAGGCTGGCCTTGAACTCATGGAGATCCACGTGTCTCTCCCTACCCAAGTGCTGAGATTATAGGCCTGTGCCGCTACACCTGGCTCACCTCGGATTATTGAAAGGCCTTTCAGTTCAGGGTGAGGTAAGGAGGGACTGAAGGAAGGGAATTGGGGGATGGAACACACCCAGGTTCCTCCCCCACCCCAACCTCGAGGGAGGGAGAAAGAATCAATCCGACCACTCACGCTGCTGCCACCGCCCCCGGTTCCCCCAGGACCCTCAACGCCTTGGTCACTCTTCTGCTCCACAGCGAGTTCGGCCTCCAGGATCCTGTCCACAGGCATCTCCTCAGGGGCTCCCCCGGCCCCATCTGCATCGCCATCTTTGTCCTTCCCCCGTTGACGCTCCTCCTGTACCGCTGTGGGGGGAGGAGAGAGAAATGCAAAATTAGAAGCCAGCTATGGGTGGGGGGAGGGGGGTCCTGAAACTCAATTGGGGCCAATGTCCCTTGAGATAAAGCAACCAGGGAGGTAATTAGGAACGGAAAGCTAGGATGGTCCCCACCACCACAAATAAATACACACGAAGTGAACGAACAGGCAGATAAAAACCAGAAGGGTACAAGAATCAAGGATGAATCTACATTTAAATAGAACAATGATGTGCTAAAATATATGCCCAAAGAGCCTTGTGGGTCCCTGCTCCCAGGAAGCTCAAGACATTAGTCTCCTAAGTTCACACAATACGGCCGGTTACGCATTTGATTGCAGACACTCCTGATGGCAAACCCTAAGTCTGCTGACTAAAGAGCAGCAGGAGAACGGGCCTGGTCTGAGTCTGGAAGGTGTGTGTTCTGATCCCGGTTCTACCACTCTGTTGGTGTGACCCTGGGAGAGCTAAGTATCATCTTCTTTAAAGCAGGAATTGGACCAAAATAAGCCCTAAAAGATCTCAGGAGTCAGTTTTAGTTAGATAGAGACAGAAAGAGAGACACCAAGTTCTATCTCTTCAGTGACTCTGTAGCTTAACCAGGTCCAAGGAAAGACCGGGAGACCAGAGAAAGAACACAGCGTCAAAGGGAGGAAGGGGCTGTGTGAAGTGAAGAGAAAACTGAGACCCATCCTGGGGAAGAGGCCACCTCACCCTAGGACCAGACTTTGCTGGGAGGTGGGATTAACCCTGAGAAGCAACCATGAAGACAGAGACAGACAGAGTGAGATACCGAGGACCAAGCTAAGGAGGACAGGAAAGAGAAGTCAAACTTCGCCCCCTGGAGGAGAAAGTGAGCACAGTCCCAGAGATATGGAGGCCATGGGGCCTTTCAGCAGTCTCCTGTCCCTCCTCAGGGCTCTCCCACAGGGCCTGGGACGGAGGCCTAGCCGGGGCAGGCCCTTACCCTCCCTTTTCATGCCAGTGGCCAGGCACTTCTGATAGCGACAGTACTGACAGCGATTCCGCTGGCGTTTGTCCACTGTACAGTCTTTGTTATCACGACATGAGTAGGTCAGGTCCTTCCGAATGGTGCGCTTGAAGAAACCCTTGCAGCCCTCGCAGCTGTAAACCCCATAGTGCTTGCCTACGAGAGAGAAGTTTGGCAGTGAAGAACGTTTTATTGAGACAGACCTCCGTGTTATCGACTCTCTGGCCAATCTGCCCAGAGAGGGAACAAAGTCTAAATCCTTCCTGTGTTTCACCCAAAAAAGGTGAGATAACTCAGTCCTCAGTGACCAAAAACCCCGTACCAACCCCTTTCCTGCCCCTCTCTGCATCTGATATGAATCTAAAGGTCCCATAGGGCTCCTTGCTCTGACCAGCCTCAAGAACCCTCGGGAACCCCGTAGGTAGTGGTAAACAGCCCATACGCCCTTTCTTTTCTGCAGCTGTGCTGAGCCCCATACCTGAGCTTCGGTCGCCACAGATTGCACAAAGCCGTTTGCCAGCACCAGGGCCACCTGGAGGGGGTGGACAGTGCAGGCCCCGGACCCCTAAGACTGGTGGCTTCACATCTTCAGGGGGGCCAGACCCACCCCCAGGGAGCGACACTGTGGAGTTGATCTGGGATGGGGGAGACAGGGAAGTCACAGGAGACTCATTTGGAAAGAGGACTCTCTCAGATGTAAGGGAAACCATTTCCTATCTGTGAGAAAGCCCTGTACTACCCATTCCAGAAGGTACTGGAGACACTGTGGTTTAATTTAAAAGCGCCTTCCCCGCCGCATAACACCAAGAGAGATGTCCACCCTTCCGCAATTGCTCTACACAGTGGCCCTGAAAGGCACATGTCTTAGAAGGGCATATTGAAGCAAAAAGAACAGCAAGCCACTGTGAGCTGAACAGGGCATCAAAAATATTCCCTTTGGGCTTAGTGTTTTTGTTTGTTTTCAAAACAGAGCTGAGAAGCATGCACCAAAAGACCATTCCCTTCAGGAAGAGCAAGGGGTCTGAGACCACAGGCCCGCTAGGATTAGAGAACTAGAAAGGTCGACGGGTTATGGGGAAGTTCACCCAAAGATGGGGGGGGGGGGGTAAAGAAGTTGAGAACAAGGAACTGAAAGCAGAGTGGCCATAAGCAGGTCACAACCTCTCACCTGAGGACTGCTGACAGGCCCGGAGAATCCTGGGGGAGCCGGAGGGGGCAGACCAGGGGACCCCATGGAAGAACTGATGACTGGGAAGGGGGAGCCCAGTGGAGGGGGTGGCATTGGAGGTGGAGGTGCTGAAGGGGTAAGAGGTGGGCCAGGAGGAGAAGAGGGAGGGATCCCCTGGGAAAGGGGATTTGGGGAGGAGCTGTCTGGGCTTCGGGAATCTGAGAAGTGGGTACATACAAGGCAGACACACGGACAGGAGAGACGAGAAGAGAGAGTGAGTCTTCTGATCATCCAAATGGACACTTTAATTCTCCCTGACCCACCACAGCCCACAGCCCCAGAGTCTGGAAATAGCAAGTCGTCAAACAACAATTTCACTCCTAATAGTCGTGAGAGGAGGGGGCGGTTGACCAAAAAGGAAGGCAGTTCAGGCGGAGCCTATCGGGTCATGCCAAGCTGACCTCGGGAGGTGGGGGGATGCGAAGAAGCACGTGGAGGTGTACCAGCGAACCCCTGGTTCCCAACTTAGAACATTCGGGGCGAAGAGTATGGAAGAAATACCCGGTCCCAGAGCGCAAGCTCAGCCTTCGAACGCCCAGAGTCCTCCAGCCCAAGGGGAATGGTGTCCTTCCCACGCCCGGTACCTCGCACGCAGGCCCCGCGGCGCCGCACCTGGAGGGCGGAAGCTCCCCCGCCGCGCCCCGCCCCGGGGGAGGGCGCTGGGCCTCGGGATGGAGAGGGCGCGTGTTTACAAACAAGGGGGCGGGCGCGCGGGGAGGGGGCGCGAGGGCCGCCGGCCCGGGCCCACGGGACACTCACCCCGCCCGCTGTCGCCCATCCCGTCCCGGCCAGCCTCCCCCGGCTCCGGCTCCAGGGTTTGCTGCTCTCCGGCCGCCGCCGCCGCCGCGGGATCCAGCCAGGGCCGCCGCCGCCGCCACCGGGACGCGACCCCACAATGCATCTCTTTTCTCACCCCCACCGGCCCACACTGCCCCGCGGCATGCCGCGGCGGGAGGAAGGGCGGACGAGTGGCCCAAGACATGACGCCCGGGCCGAGGGCGGGGGAGCCGGAGAGGCGCCAGGGACGCGCAGGGGGGCAGAGCGGGGGGACTCGGGGGGCCGCGAGGAAGCCGCCGAGGACAGCGGGCTCCGGCCGGGGACGGCGCGACTCAAGGGCCGCGCTCGGCTCGGCACCGAGGTGACAGCACGGGCGCGGCCGCCATCTTTGTACAGACGGGAAGTCTCGCCTCGAGCTCCCGCCCCCTCGCCGAGATGGAAACGGAGGAGGCGGTCTCCGCCCGCCCGTCAGCCGCCCCGTCCGCCGTCCCCTCAGATAACCCCCTAGGTGTGCGCATGCGCCCTGAGGCCGCGGCCGCGCCGTCCTCGGGGCGCCGCCATGTTGGTAAAGGTAGCGGGGCGCAGGCAAAGGGGGAACTTCCGGATCTCGCGGGAGCTCGAGGCTTGAGTGCCACGTCCCAGCAAACCGAGAACCGAGAGGATCCCGGAGCCGGTGAGAACTCCCTGCTGCTCCCTTGACGGCGCTTTCCAGGCCTTTACCCCCAACTAGTGGGCCATAGAGACGAGGGCCCAGAGAGACCGTAGAGCTGCCGATCAAAGGCTAGAGCGGCGTCCGGGGGGCGGGGGTGGGGGGGGCTGCATCCAGGAAGGGTGTTGGGGATGAAGAGAAGTGGCCTTGGGAACAATGTAAAAGGGGAGCAAGTAGTATAGAGGCGGACGGAAGGGCTTCAAGGGAAAGCGGATCCCGCAGAGGTTAGAGCTGAGAGTCAAGTAGAGTCGTCTCTGTTCCTCTGGTCGGCGTGATGGCCAGGGGCCTACGGGCCCCCCACTGGGTGTCTGTGGGACTGCTGACCTGGGCGGCTTTGGGGCTGCTGGTGGCCGGACACGAGGGTCATGGTGACCTGCACAGAGATGTGGAAGAGGACTTCCATGGCCACAGCCACGGCCACTCACATGAAGATTTCCACCATGGCCACAGCCACGGCCATGGCCACACTCATGAGAGCATCTGGCACGGGCATGCCCACAGCCACGACCATGGACATTCACATGAGGATTTGCACCATGGCCACAGCCATGGCCACTCCCACGATAGCCTCCACCACAGAGGACATGGACATGCCCACGAACATAGCCACAGAGCCTCTAGGGAGGCCGGGGCTCCGGGCATCAAGCACCATCTGGACACTGTCACCCTCTGGGCCTATGTGAGTCCCGAGGGGATGCGGGGAAGAGGGACTGGTTCTTCATCATCGGAAAACTCCATGTTTGCCTTCTGACTCTCCTTCTCCAGGCACTGGGGGCCACAGTTCTGATCTCCGCAGCTCCGTTCTTCGTGCTGTTCCTCATCCCGGTGGAATCGAACTCTCCCAGGCACCGCTCTCTGCTCCAGATCCTGCTGAGCTTTGCTTCTGGGGGGCTCCTGGGTGATGCGTTCCTCCACCTCATCCCTCACGCCTTGGGTAAGTAACTTGTGGGCTCAACAGCATAAGCTGTTTCTCTTTAATGATCCCAGTAGTCCTCAGACACACATCCCTTGAGCCAAGTATCCCTTCACCATTTTTACTGCTTCCTGCAGAGCCTCATTCTCACCATGTTCCGGAGCAGCCTGGACACGGACACTCCCACAGCGGTGAGAGAGAGACAGGGACTGGGATGCTGGGAAAGGTCTGCCTCTTCCCATTCCCCACCTCTTAACACTGAGTCTGCATCTCCTTTCATGGTTGACTGCCTCCGTTCTCAGGCCAGGGCCCCATTCTCTCCGTGGGGCTGTGGGTTCTCAGTGGGATTGTCGCCTTCCTGGTGGTGGAGAAATTTGTGAGACACGTGAAAGGAGGCCATGGACACAGCCACGGACACGGAGACAGCCACGCACATGGAGACAGTCACGCTCATGGACACAGCCATGCACATGGAGACAGACAGGGTGAGCCTGCATTGTCTGCTATAGAACACACTCAGGCTCACCCTGTGGAGCCGGACACATGAGAACGCTCTGTTCCCCGCTCTGATCAACTCCTGCTCTCCCTCAGAGTGTTCTTCAAAGGAAAAGCGCAGCTCAGAGGAGGAAAAGGAAGCAGGGGCATTGCGGAAAAGGAGAGGAGGGAACACGGGGCCCAGAGATGGCCCCGTGAAACCTCAGAGCCCTGAAGAAGGAAAGGCAGGCTCAGGTGAGGGATGAGTCGATGAGTTGATGGTTTCACTATGAATTTCTCAGAATGTGTGCTGTGGGTGACGGTGGGGAGCTAGGAAATGGGGAGGGGTATGTGAAACAACTTGATGGACGCCTTGAATCTTTTTTTTTTTTTTTGTCTCTTTGCAAAAAGACCTGCGTGTGTCTGGGTACCTGAACCTGGCTGCTGACTTGGCACACAACTTCACAGACGGCCTGGCCATTGGCGCTTCCTTCCGTGGGGGCCGAGGGCTAGGCATCCTGACCACAATGACAGTCCTGCTACATGAAGTGCCTCATGAGGTCGGGGACTTTGCCATCTTGGTCCAGTCTGGCTGCAGCAAGAAACAGGTTGGTGCCGACTGCCTGTCATTAGTTCCTAACAAGCTACACTACCATCGTGTGAGTTATCCAGAGTCAGGAAAAGTTGTTTCTTTACCTCTGGCTCTCTGTCGTACGCTGCAATCCTCACACATGTACAGCCTGGGAAGCACCTCTTTGATGGCATCAGATTTTTCAGGACATGTCCTAGTTTTTACCTGGCTGTTTGGGGGTCTGGGGGCCTTGGGTGTGGTCTTGAGGCAGGGTCTCATTGATTACCTGTTCGCTAGCGAGGGAGCCCCAGGCAGCTGCCTGCTTCTGCTTCCTGATGCTGGTGCCTGGGACCCAGATTCCTGTCCTTACGCTTGTGCAGCAGATGCTACCAGGCGATCCCCTCCCCACCCTCCGCTGGCTTGCTCCTTTCCTTAACATGGCCGCCTGGACAGCTGTACCCCCTGGTCCCACCTAATCCTTAGCTGTTGATGATCGTGTCTTTCTCTTTTCTGCCCACCAGGCGATGCGTCTGCAACTCCTGACTGCAATTGGAGCACTGGCAGGCACAGCCTGTGCCCTTCTCACCGAGGGAGGGGCCGTGGGCAGTGATATGGCAGGTGGTGCAGGTCCCGGCTGGGTCCTGCCGTTCACTGCAGGTGGATTTATCTATGTAGCAACAGTGTCCGTACTACCTGAGCTATTGAGAGAGGCATCTCCATTACAGTCCCTTTTGGAGGTGCTGGGGCTGCTGGGGGGTGTCGCCATGATGGTACTGATTGCCCATCTTGAGTGAGGGGTAGGGTGACCTGTCCTACCCCTAATTCCTAAATAAAGGCAGTTGGGAGCCCTTGGCCAGTGCTATTGCCAGAAGGAGTTTTGGCCTTGGAGAATGGTGTCTTTGGTATTTGAGGCCTTAGCGGTATGAGAATCATACAGAGCATGAGAGGCCAGAGGGACCACGGTGTGGGAGACTGCCCAACAGTGGTGTTGGTTTGAAGGAATAAATGGGACCATGAAGAAGGCTGGGAAGACAGTACCCTGCCTGGTGGTCTCTAGCCTACGTTTTCCCAGCACCAGCACGGGTCCTCCAAGGTCCATCTCCCTCTGAACTGGTTAGTGATGGCTTCAGAGAAGACCTGGCAGAAGGAGTGGGTAGACGTCAATCGTGTGTCCTGATTTGAAGGGGGGGGGCGGGTGTTCTTTGGGAAAATGTCACAGCCTGTTTCTACTCATTTTATACCACTGTTTGAATGGGTCGGGAGGACCGCTGACCAGAAATAAAAGTCCTTGGATCTTCTGCCCCACATGCAGCCTTTGTGTTTTTGGGTGAACGGGACCCCCACGTCTCCAGGACTCCCTGGGTCCCCGAGTGGTGGTGGATGGTCACGCCCCCGTGGTGGGAGGTCGCGCCGGTGGCTGCCAAAGGCCTGCGGCTAGTGGGGTTTCCATTGGACCCTGACCGGGCCTAGCCACGCCCCCGGCGTGCTCGGATTGGCCTGGGCTCCGGGCACGCCCACCCACAGCCGCCATGGCGTCTCAGCTCCGGCTCCGCTCTGCGCTGGCCCTGGTTACAGGTTCAGGGGTTCCCTCTCTGGGTGGGTTGGGGTGCCCGGGCTATGTCAGCGAGAGCCACCCCCGGAGTCCCTGTCCCTGTTGTCTGAGTTTCAGTAACTTTGCGCCCCGTGACCTCTGACCTCGCCCGTCTTCTCCCGCTCCCGTGGACTCTCCCATCTCAGGTGCGGGTAGCGGCATCGGCCGTGCGATCAGCGTGCGGCTAGCGGCAGAGGGCGCCGCAGTGGCCGCCTGCGACCTGGACGAGGCCGCCGCACTGGACACCGTGCGGCTGCTGGGAAGCCCGGGGAGCGAGGACGGGGCGCCGCGCGGGAAGCACGCTGCCTTCCAGGCGGACGTGTCTCAGGGCCCCGCAGCCCGACGCCTGCTGGAGCAAGTGCAGGTGATCCGGACGCCGCGCCGCACATCCCCTCTGCCCGGCCCTTTGTGGTCTTTGGTGTTAGCCTCCCCCTCCCTCCCATAGGCCTGCTTTTCTCGCCCGCCATCTGTCGTTGTGTCCTGTGCGGGCATCACACGCGATGAGTTTCTGCTCCACATGTCAGAAGAAGACTGGGACTCAGTCATAGCTGTCAACCTCAAGGTGGTGATCTCTAAACCTGTGACTTGTGCCCGCCCCTAGCCTGGGAAAGTACTTGGAGGAAGGCTGCCTGCCACCCCAGCCGATCTTGCCAGCCTTGTTACCCTCTCGTGCCAGGGCACCTTCCTAGTGACTCAGGCTGCAGCCCAGGCTTTGGTGTCCAGTGGCAGTCGTGGCTCCATCATCAACATTAGTAGCATTGTTGGAAAGGTCAGGATGAGTTGGGCCAGGCCATCCAGCCACGTGGGCGCTGGGAAGCGGCTCCCCTGTAGACGACTCCTGACTCACCCTGGGTCTCTGACTCACTGTAGGTGGGGAATATCGGACAAACAAATTATGCGTCCTCCAAAGCAGGCGTGATTGGGCTCACCCAGACTGCAGCCCGGGAGCTTGGACGGTGGGTCAGACTGGGGATCCCTTGGGGACCTTGCTAAGGGAAGGGTCAAGTGTCCTTCCCAGGGTCAGCATCCATGCTTCCTCTCACAGACACGGAATCCGATGTAACTCAGTCCTCCCAGGGTTCATTGCAACGCCCATGACCCAGAAAATGCCAGAGAAAGTGAAGGACAAGGTAGGCTGTAGGCGGAGGGCAGTCTGTCAGAGGAAGTCTCTGAATGAGACTGCTGGGCACGGTGCAAACAGTAAGTATTCCAGACACGTACATAATGAGGGATGAGAAAAAAGTCCATAAAAGAAACTTCTACCCACGTGAGTGTTTCCTTACAGGTAACTGCAATGATTCCGTTGGGACACATGGGGGACCCCGAGGGTGAGCATGGATTGGGAGAAGGGTCTGAGGGGGCTTAAATTTGTAATAGTCTTGAAAAGGTCGCACAGGGATTAATGACTTGTGTAGATTCAGGGTTTGGGGTGGGGGGGTAGAGGGTATAGCCAGTCTGGATCTAAGGAAGTGAGACTGCCCTTCCCCCACCATCCCCATAGATGTAGCAGATGTGGTTGCGTTCTTGGCATCTGAAGACAGTGGATACATCACAGGGGCCGCCGTGGAAGTCAGTGGTATGAGGCCTTCATGGGGGGGGGGGGGGCGCAGGAAAACAGAACCCAGGTTGTATGAGAAAGCGAAGGGACCCTGCAGCCTGAAGGGCAGAGATCCCTTCTTTAGACCGGGGACAGGAGTGGGTGCCTCCATCCCCACCCATGCACCTGTCCCGATGCTTCTGCCCCTCCCAGGAGGTCTTTTCATGTAACTGCCTGATGGAAGCCGGACTCTCCTCACTCCCCCGCCACTGCCTGGCCTCCTGCTGACGAGGACGCTAAGTTCCCAGGCTACAAAAGAGATGGCAGTGTGTGGCTCAGGCGCGCTGAATATGGAAGGCAGGGGTGCCTGTGACCCTAATAAATTCCAAATCCTCTTCCCTGCCACCTCCGGTTCTTCTTGTGTCCAAGTCCTCGGACCCTTCCCCACCTCCCCCTCTCTCCCCTTTCGGAAGGATTGTTCCCTTTCACTGCCTGGTCTCCCAGGGCAACCCCCGCCGCCGGGTGTGAGAGGAAAGAGTGTATGTCACTGTGTATGCGTGACACTCTGGGTCTTTTCAGAGGGAGGGGATTCTGTCCTCACCCCCTTTCATTGGTTCGGCAGCACCAGTTATTGCCCCCTCCCCCCATTCCCCGGGTTCCTTATGGCCCCCAAGGGTGATTTGTTCTTGGCCCCATCCTGGTGTCCAGTCTGGCCTTGGAAGGGGGTCTTGGAACAGGTGGCCCTCCCCCACCCCTCCTTTCTCTTTTCCCCTCCCTTCTCTCCACCTTACAATAGCTGCAGCCGGCCTGGGGTCGGATGGGGGGGATTAGGGGAGGGGGCCAGGATTAGGGGAACGGACTAGCCGATGAAAGGGGCTGGAGGAGAGCAGAAGGGAGGGGGCTGGGAGGAGGAGGAGGAGGAGGAGGAGGAAGGGGAGGGGGTCCTTGCTAATCGACTCCGGTGCCCACATCAGGACCGGCCACGGACTGAAGGAGAGAACAGGGAAGTAGGGGGTAACTGGGTTGGGGGGCGAGGGGACCCACTGCTAACTTGTCCCAGAGACGGGCCACCCCCTGGCAGCCGCTGCGCAGGCTGGCGGGGGGACGAACACCCATCACGGTCTCTTCCTCGGTGCCCCTTATTCCCGACTCTCAACCGGTATGGCCCTGCTCCTTCCTCCTCCTCTCTCCTCCTCGTCCGCTTCCTTCACTCCGAGTCCCGGAGTGGCTCTGCCTACTTTCCCACGCCAGACATTCACTCGTGTGCTCCCCGGCTCCCCACCAGGGGCCCGCCCCATCTGGTGTCCCCGCTTCCGCGTGGCGTCTCCATCCCCGGCGCCTCCGGTGCGCTTCTCTCCCCGTCCCGGGCCGCGGCTCCTGATTGTCCAAACGCAATTCTCGAGTCTCTGGCTCCGGCCGAGAGTTGCGTCTGGACGTCCCGAGCCGCCGCCCCAAAACCTCGAGGAGGAGAGGCCGGGCGGAGCGCGGGACGGTTCCCCGGGACACCCGGGACCTCAGGGCGCGCGCCCCGCAGCAGAGGCGCAGCTGGCTCTCCGCGGTTCCCAGGCCGGGCTTGAGAGAAGTTGGGGGATCAGCGCCACGGAGGGGAGCTCCGCCCGCGGGCTCTCCGCATGCACCGGCACGCACCGGGCCGGCTCAGCGCGCGCCCCGCGGGGGAGGGGGGAGCCGGGTCCCACGGCGCGCGTGGCGCGTGAGGGCGGTGACGTCTCCGTCGCGGGGTGGGATACAAGGAGGGCGGAAGTGACGTCGGGCTTCGGCGCCCGGGCCATGGCGGCGGCGGTGGCGGCAGCAAGGGTTGCGGCGTGAGTGGCAGCTGCGGACCGAGCGGACCAGGGCGGCCGAGCCCCGGGGTCCCCGGGGAGAGTCCCGCAGCAGGGCAGCGCGGAGGCCGGAGCCGGGTGAGGGGCCGCGGGGCGCGCGCCCGGGGTCAGGGGGCGGGGTCTGCAGAGGGGCGGCCCCGACAGCGTCTCCCTCCCCCCCACACCCCCTCCGCAGACCGCTCTCGGCCGAGCCCCGCTTGGAGGGGGGGATTCTGTGCCCCGTCACCATGACGACGCCGGCGAATGCACAGAATGCCAGCAAAACGTGGGAACTGAGTCTCTATGAGCTGCACCGGACCCCGCAGGTGACAGGGATCTTCCAAGTCCCAGCTTACGCCCTCCCGCCAGCCCTCCCCCTCCCCCGCCACACTATTCTTTGCCCGACTCTTGTCTTTGAATCACCTTTTATCTTCTCAAAGCACTTCTAAACTCACCTCGTTTAATCCGGTTTAACCCCTCCAAGCGGACATGACAGAGAGGTACAGCAGATATTACTGTCTTAATTGAAGCACGGTAAACAGACGCCAGAAGTTACATTCTCTGTCCCATCTCAACAGCCACATGTCAATGTACACACGCGTATTCATCCCGCGAGCTTAAATAGAATTCCCTCTCTAGTATTCTGACATCGGAATCTGTTTTAACAGGCACCCTGAACTTCTAGTCTAGGTACTCTTGCTCTTTAGAGTTTTAAGAAAGCCTGTTGAGGCCGGATGTGACAGTGCAGTCCTTTAACCCCAGCACTCCTGAAGCAGAGACAGGTGGATCTCTAAGTTTGAGGTCTCTAGTTAGAGGCCTGCCGGGATTACATGCATATGGAGACCCAGTCTTGAAAACAGCAAACAAAAAATAAAGAAGTCTGTTGCATAAATACCCTCCAATCCATAGATCTGTGCCATCCACAACCCTAGTCCTCTCAACAAACCTCTGGTCCTTCTGTTTCAAAACTCCCTCTAAATGAGCCCTCATCCTTTCTGTTCCCGTAATTCCCAAGTCGTTGGTCGCCTCCACCCCAGAATTCCCATCAGTTTGGTCAGCATGGCTCTCCGGGTTCTTACCTTTCTTAAAGTTTGCCTCTAAAGTCCCTTTTCCCCAACCCGCTGCCACCTGCTGATGACCCAGGAAGCCATCATGGACGGCACGGAGATTGCAGTTTCGCCCCGGTCACTGCATTCGGAGCTCATGTGTCCCATCTGCTTGGACATGCTGAAGAACACAATGACCACTAAGGAGTGCCTGCATAGGTTCTGCTCGGACTGCATCGTCACTGCCCTGCGGAGCGGGTAACAGGAGGGACACGTCTGCCGTGCGCGCGCGCAGGGCCAGGCGGGCCAACCCGGGCGTCAGTGATGGGAGCTGGCTCTACAGAGCTTCCTTCCTCCCACCCCAGGAACAAGGAGTGCCCTACCTGCCGGAAAAAGCTGGTATCCAAGCGATCCCTACGGCCAGACCCCAACTTCGACGCCCTGATCTCCAAAATCTATCCTAGCAGGGAGGAATACGAGGCCCATCAAGACCGTGTGCTCATCCGCCTCAGCCGCCTGCACAACCAGCAGGCGCTGAGCTCCAGTATCGAGGAGGGGCTTCGGATGCAGGCCATGCACAGGTGTGGAGACCCAGAGAGCAGATTACCTGTGGGTCTTGTCTGGAGTATGGTCCTGATAGTCTGCATTCGAGCTGCTAGGTGTTGACCATTGCAGTTGGGATCTGAGGGCAAGTGTCTGTCCTCAAACAAGTTAACCTCGCCAGCCCTCTTTAAGCCTGTTTCTTCAACTATCAAATAGAAACAGGAAACATCACTAGTAGGGCCTCTGATGTTTAACACTACGGCCTTGAATCCTGCTCTTGTAACCTGGAGTGTTTGTTTCTACAGGGCCCAGCGTGTGAGGCGGCCGATGCCTGGATCTGATCAGACGGCCACAATGAGTGGGGGGGAAGGAGAACCTGGGGAGGGAGAAGGGGATGGTGAGGATGTCAGCTCTGACTCCGCCCCAGACTCTGCTCCAGGCCCTGCTCCCAAGCGACCCCGTGGAGGGGGTGCAGGGGGCAGCAGTGTAGGGACAGGGGGTGGTGCTGCTGGTGGGGTTTGCGGGGGTGCTGGTTCTGAAGACTCTGGTGACAGGGGCGGCACCCTGGGAGGGGGAACCCTTGGCCCCCCAAGCCCTCCTGGGGCTCCCAGTCCTCCAGAGCCAGGCGGAGAGATCGAACTTGTATTCCGGCCCCATCCCCTGCTCGTGGAGAAAGGAGAATACTGCCAGACTAGGTGAGGAGCCGACCTTTTACTGCTCAACCACCTAGAAACTCAGGTTCAGAAATCTGCATCAGAAGGGGCCCTCAGGCCTGGGGGTGTAGTTCATTCAGTCAGTAGAGTGTTTGTTAAGCATGCATGAGTCCCTTAGTTTGCTCCCCAGCAACATATAAACACCTAGGGTGGTAGTGTACACCTGTAATCCCAGAGGCAGGGGGATGAGAAGTTGAAGGTCATCTTGAGCTACATAGCAAGGTAGAGGCTAGCCTGGGGTACCTGAATCCCTAGCCAGACCTTTTGGAGAAAGTTCTGCATTCGAGGACTCTTGCCCTCCGCCCCCCATCTTCCTCCCCGGCCCCGCCCCCCCCCCCCCCCAGGTACGTGAAGACTACCGGGAACGCCACAGTGGATCACCTCTCCAAGTACCTGGCCCTGCGCATCGCCCTGGAGAGGAGGCAGCAGCAGGAAACCGTAGAGCCCGGAGGGGCTGGTGGGGGTGCCTCGGACACAGGCGGACCTGACGGGGGTGGTGGGGAGAGAGGGGTTGCCGGAGGAGGCGAAGGTCCGGAGGAGCCTGCCCTGCCCAGCCTGGAAGGTGTCAGCGAAAAACAGTATACCATCTACATCGCTCCCGGGGGCGGAGCGTTCACGGTGAGCATCCGCTGATGTTAACTGACAGAGAGCAGGGCGGTGACCACCAGCTCAGCTCCTGCTCCACCCGTCTCTATGGGCTCCTGTTGGGCCACACCCACTCTGGTTTTCAATGTACCCCCTTTTTTCCTCTTGTCCGTTTCCTCCTCTAACCTCACTCCCCCTGCCTCTCTCGCCCCCTCCCCAGACGCTGAATGGCTCACTGACCTTGGAGCTTGTGAACGAGAAATTCTGGAAGGTGTCCAGGCCCTTAGAGCTCTGCTATGCCCCCACGAAGGACCCAAAATGACGACGTCACAAGGGGACAGCCGGAAGATGGGAACCACTGGGTTTCTCTGTGTCCCAGCTCAGCCTGCC